GTGTCCCTACGTGAAAAATGAATTGCCCCCTCCTGTTAAATCATGAAAGAACTGCAATTAACCACATTATTTTAGAAAGCTGAGTTAAATTTCACTAGCCACACCCAGGCCTGATTACTGCCAGACCTGTTGAATCAAGAAATCACTTAAATAGAACCTGTCTGACAAAGTGAAGCATGAAAGAAATTCAAGAACCGATGAGAATCAAAACAGTTGACATGTATCAGTCTGTAAAGGATTATAAAGCCATTTCTAAGGCTTTGGGACTCGAGCGAACCATGGTCAGAGCCATTATCCACAAATTGAGAAAACTTGGAACAATGGTGAACCTTCCCAGGAGTGGCTGGCCAACCAAAATTACTCCAAGAGCACAACGACGACTCATCTAAGAGGTCATAAATGAAAAAACCCAGAACAAAATCTAAAGAACTGCAGGCCTCACTTGCCTCAATTAAGGTCAGTGTTCATGATTCAACAATAAGAAAGAGACTGGGCAAAAACGGCATCCATGGGAGAGTTCCAAGGCAAAAGCCACTGCTGACCAAAAAGAACACAAAGGCTCGTCTCTCATTTGCCAAAAAATATCTTGATTATCCCCAAGACTTTTGGGCAAATATTCTGTGGACTGATGAGACAAAAGTTGAACTTTTTGGAAGGTGTGTGTCCCGTTACATCTGGCGTAAAACCAACACAGCATTTCATAAAAAGAAATCATACCAACAGTCAAACATGGCGGTGCGTGTGATGATCTGGGGCTGCTTTGCAGCTTCAGGACCTGGACGACTTGCCATAATTGCGTGGCACAACCAGTTATTAGATTTAGGGGGCAATTACTGTTTCACGTAGGGCCAGGCAGGTTTGGACAGCTTTTTTCCCTTAATAAAATAAATAATCATTTAAAAACTGTATTTTGTATTTACTTGCATTATCTTTGTGTAATATTAAAATTAGTTTGATGATCTGAATCTTTTAAGTGTGACAAATATGGAAAAAAAAAAAAAAAACCGGGAAGGGGGCAAAAACCTTTTCACAGCACTATAAATAGATAGATAGAGATAATGTGAATGATAAATGTATACGGCACAAAAGAATCCTGAGGAAAATATTTAGCAGCAATTTTTCCCCGCATTGATAATAAACGTTTCTTGAGCACCAAATGAGCATTTAGAATGATTTCTGAAGAGTCATGTGACACTAATGTCCGCTGAAAATAGTGAGGAATATATTACATTTGAAAATACATTCAAATAGAATAATTTTAAACCGTAAGAATATTTCACAATATTACTATTTGTACTGTATTTTTGATCAAATAAATGCAGCCTTGGTGAGCAAGAGACTTCTTTCAAAAACATCCTGCAGTATGGTAATGAGGTGGTGGCTGATGGATCATGGACATGCGGTCGCATGCCTGCTTTAGGGTATAAAGCACCAGATTAACTAGTGTTTGGGTTACGCTGTGATGCTATTGGCTGGCTACTATAAAAACAGAAATTAATGCATTAAACTGTTTTTCACATTTCTTTTTATTTCTTCAAGGACAATTAGTCTAGAGGATCCACTTGTACACATCAAAACAATGGAATCACCACATTAACATATTTAACAATCACTGAAACGGGAGAAATGGTGAAGTAGTCATCTTTACCGCACAACCAACCCGATCTCACAGCAATTTATACATATTTTACTAGGTGGCTAATTCGTACGAATTTGTACGTGAGATGGCATTGGCACAACTCCTGAACCACAATCAAACAGCCAATCCAGGTCCTGGAAGCGCCACAATAATGAGACCTAAAGTGGCCTCGCAGTTTGATCCATTAGGAGTGAGTTGATTACAACCCGGTCTAAATTGGAATGCTTCAAAATAAATCCATGTAAAAAAAAAAAAATCTAAATCAAATGAATGCATCTCTCCATAGATCCAGTGCAAGAAAACACATGATCTTGGTCACCAGACTGGAAATGCTTCACAAGACCATAGTGCTTTAACGACAGAGTTTGTGATTTGATTGATCATTGCAATATAAACAGACATTTAACAGAAGCTGATTTTGGACATTTAGGAGTTAGTACAATCATGTTTAGTATGTACCTCCACTTCACAAAAACATCATAGATAGTAAAGCATTTCAGTAGAGATAAAAGAAGGCCAACTGATCTTACAAGTTTGATCGTGGATATAAACAGTGGTTCAGACAGAGTACTGTTAGATTTGGTAGATAACCTCAGTGAAGGAAAACACCATATATAATTATACAAGAATAAAAATTAGGCTGTGAGGGATAAATGGGTTGTTCCGTTAAAATATTTCAGCCGATGAAACACTGAAAATACATTGTCCTAAAACATTTCAGTTGGACAAAATCTCTGGTTGTGAAAATGAGATCTTGAAATCCAGTCAAATCTACAGCCTCGTTATTATTTGTGTTTAAATATGGCATCTAAGGTCTGTGACCAATTAAAGTCACCTAAAACAGCTGTTTGCAGTGCTTTTCTGCTATGAACTTGCTTTTAGATGATCATTTTCAGGATTACCCGAGATGAACAGCAAAGAAAATGTTACATAATGTTCTTAAGAGTTTAGACGTCATACAGTAACTTATGGAAGCTTGTTTCTGTGACGGGTTTAAAAAAAACAAATAAAAAAAACAAGGTAAACAATAATCACAAGACAGGTAGGAGAAACAGAACGGCAAACACCCTCATGCTCCACAAAAAAAACACAACTGCATTTAATATGTACACGCATCAGATTATTATATCCTCTCATTTTTAACCAACCAGATCTGAAGAGAGCCCTACAAAGTGAGGGCCTACACTGGTAGAAATACAATTGGAGATGACTGGTATTATTTATTTTACATCATTGTTTTGGTATAACTGTTTTTTCAAAGTTAGCATTTACTTGAATTCAGTAGCTACATGAAAGAACACAACACGTGAGAGTGAGATCAGGTCAAGCACACCAGATACACCAGGTGTCATCACGCAAATACACAAGAACATTCTTGCATACAGCCATCAAGAGAATACTTTATGATTTACACCCATCCAATGCAAAGAACCACACTAAAGCAATTCATCACTTTTCTTGTACTGTACAAAACCATCACAGCGAACTATATATTTGAATTTGAGTTAATTACAAACATAAACAGACCCCAACATTGGGTCTACAGACCGGTTCTGTCACCATATGCAGGATCACTGTTTATATTATTAAGCTTTTTTTTAATAAATAAAATAACTTTTGCTTTAAAAATAATAATAATAATTAAATTTGATATTAGGACATCATGGAGGTATGGCCAAAAACATTAAGTGATATTTTCATTTTCAGAATTATGAGATGCCAAACTAAGTGTTTAAGTCGTCAAAGATCTGCCTTTGACATCATCATGCACTCTTTTAAGACAAATTGGTGCACATACAATATTTCAATCTTCAGAAAATGATGGTTAAAAACAGACACAAAAGGAAAATACATTTAAATAATTTACTATGTATTTACACCTCCTGTTTGCACCAGCAACACAGCATCTTTGATCTGTAGGTTGTGTAGTCGTCTAATCTCCCATTTTTACTTTCGATGTCTAAATGGAAAGAAAAAAAAGGGTTAATAATTACACACACACACAAACACAAAAACAAAACAACAAAAAACAAATACAATCTGATGTTCCAGTACCATACAAAAACTGCAGAGGCCAAATGTTTGTTTGTTTATGATTTAACGCCATGCGAGCTACCTCGGCTATATTCATGGTGAAAACGAGGTTAGTTAAGTTAAATTAAGTTTTTTTAATTTGATCTTAGATAAAAATTCTAAAACTAAATCTGGCCTTACTTCACTAAAAATCTTTCCATAAAAGACAACAGAAAAATAATGAGTTCTGACAGACTTTAAACTGTTACAATCCATCAAAATATGCTTCAAAGATAATGGATTCTGGCATAAAGAACATAAAGGAGGATCTTCACCCGCCAACAGAAAACTATGGGTTAGTCTGGAATGTCCTATTCGACAGCGAGTGTAGACAATATGATCCCATCGATTTTCAAAGTGGGCACAACGTTTTACACCAACTACAGGATTGATTTTGTATAGCTTGTTTCAGAGCCCAAATGAAATGACTGTTTTAATAGGAGTTGCTCTTGTGTGGCTGAATAATCTCAATCTGAATACAAGCATGCATGTCAAATCAATTTACAGTGTGTGACTGGAAATTGTGATAAAATTTTCATTTTCCAGAGGGTGGTCATAAGTAGCTAGATGGATATCAGTGACAAATAATTCAAAAGATCATCCTGCTGGAAACCAGATTGGGAAGAATGTGCTTCATGACAACACTGTTAGGTAAACTAAAGGCCTGATCACACAAATAATGAAATGAAGAAGTGATACAAAAGTAGGCCTGGGCGATAAAACGGTATCGATATTTATCGACGGTACACCTTCTTCGAAATCGATAGAAATATTTTTCGATATAGCACACGATATAGGCACGTGCTATGAGTGACGCAGACAGCACACACAAACACGAACAGGAGTGCTGTACCTGCCTGTGATGAGGAGATTGTGAATAAAATTTTTCCCCGCATTGATAATAAACGTTTCTTGAGCACCAAATGAGCATTTAGAATGATTTCTGAAGAGTCATGTGACACTAATGTCCGCTGAAAATAGTGAGGAATATATTACATTTGAAAATACATTCAAATAGAATAATTTTAAACCGTAAGAATATTTCACAATATTACTATTTGTACTGTATTTTTGATCAAATAAATGCAGCCTTGGTGAGCAAGAGACTTCTTTCAAAAACATCCTGCAGTATGGTAATGAGGTGGTGGCTGATGGATCATGGACATGCGGTCGCATGCCTGCTTTAGGGTATAAAGCACCAGATTAACTAGTGTTTGGGTTACGCTGTGATGCTATTGGCTGGCTACTATAAAAACAGAAATTAATGCATTAAACTGTTTTTCACATTTCTTTTTATTTCTTCAAGGACAATTAGTCTAGAGGATCCACTTGTACACATCAAAACAATGGAATCACCACATTAACATATTTAACAATCACTGAAACGGGAGAAATGGTGAAGTAGTCATCTTTACCGCACAACCAACCCGATCTCACAGCAATTTATACATATTTTACTAGGTGGCTAATTCGTACGAATTTGTACATGAGATGGCATTGGCACAACTCCTGAACCACAATCAAACAGCCAATCCAGGTCCTGGAAGCGCCACAATAATGAGACCTAAAGTGGCCTCGCAGTTTGATCCATTAGGAGTGAGTTGATTACAACCCGGTCTAAATTGGAATGCTTCAAAATAAATCCATGTAAAAAAAAAAAAATCTAAATCAAATGAATGCATCTCTCCATAGATCCAGTGCAAGAAAACACATGATCTTGGTCACCAGACTGGAAATGCTTCACAAGACCATAGTGCTTTAACGACAGAGTTTGTGATTTGATTGATCATTGCAATATAAACAGACATTTAACAGAAGCTGATTTTGGACATTTAGGAGTTAGTACAATCATGTTTAGTATGTACCTCCACTTCACAAAAACATCATAGATAGTAAAGCATTTCAGTAGAGATAAAAGAAGGCCAACTGATCTTACAAGTTTGATCGTGGATATAAACAGTGGTTCAGACAGAGTACTGTTAGATTTGGTAGATAACCTCAGTGAAGGAAAACACCATATATAATTATACAAGAATAAAAATTAGGCTGTGAGGGATAAATGGGTTGTTCCGTTAAAATATTTCAGCCGATGAAACACTGAAAATACATTGTCCTAAAACATTTCAGTTGGACAAAATCTCTGGTTGTGAAAATGAGATCTTGAAATCCAGTCAAATCTACAGCCTCGTTATTATTTGTGTTTAAATATGGCATCTAAGGTCTGTGACCAATTAAAGTCACCTAAAACAGCTGTTTGCAGTGCTTTTCTGCTATGAACTTGCTTTTAGATGATCATTTTCAGGATTACCCGAGATGAACAGCAAAGAAAATGTTACATAATGTTCTTAAGAGTTTAGACGTCATACAGTAACTTATGGAAGCTTGTTTCTGTGACGGGTTTAAAAAAAACAAATAAAAAAAACAAGGTAAACAATAATCACAAGACAGGTAGGAGAAACAGAACGGCAAACACCCTCATGCTCCACAAAAAAAACACAACTGCATTTAATATGTACACGCATCAGATTATTATATCCTCTCATTTTTAACCAACCAGATCTGAAGAGAGCCCTACAAAGTGAGGGCCTACACTGGTAGAAATACAATTGGAGATGACTGGTATTATTTATTTTACATCATTGTTTTGGTATAACTGTTTTTTCAAAGTTAGCATTTACTTGAATTCAGTAGCTACATGAAAGAACACAACACGTGAGAGTGAGATCAGGTCAAGCACACCAGATACACCAGGTGTCATCACGCAAATACACAAGAACATTCTTGCATACAGCCATCAAGAGAATACTTTATGATTTACACCCATCCAATGCAAAGAACCACACTAAAGCAATTCATCACTTTTCTTGTACTGTACAAAACCATCACAGCGAACTATATATTTGAATTTGAGTTAATTACAAACATAAACAGACCCCAACATTGGGTCTACAGACCGGTTCTGTCACCATATGCAGGATCACTGTTTATATTATTAAGCTTTTTTTTAATAAATAAAATAACTTTTGCTTTAAAAATAATAATAATAATTAAATTTGATATTAGGACATCATGGAGGTATGGCCAAAAACATTAAGTGATATTTTCATTTTCAGAATTATGAGATGCCAAACTAAGTGTTTAAGTCGTCAAAGATCTGCCTTTGACATCATCATGCACTCTTTTAAGACAAATTGGTGCACATACAATATTTCAATCTTCAGAAAATGATGGTTAAAAACAGACACAAAAGGAAAATACATTTAAATAATTTACTATGTATTTACACCTCCTGTTTGCACCAGCAACACAGCATCTTTGATCTGTAGGTTGTGTAGTCGTCTAATCTCCCATTTTTACTTTCGATGTCTAAATGGAAAGAAAAAAAAGGGTTAATAATTACACACACACACAAACACAAAAACAAAACAACAAAAAACAAATACAATCTGATGTTCCAGTACCATACAAAAACTGCAGAGGCCAAATGTTTGTTTGTTTATGATTTAACGCCATGCGAGCTACCTCGGCTATATTCATGGTGAAAACGAGGTTAGTTAAGTTAAATTAAGTTTTTTTAATTTGATCTTAGATAAAAATTCTAAAACTAAATCTGGCCTTACTTCACTAAAAATCTTTCCATAAAAGACAACAGAAAAATAATGAGTTCTGACAGACTTTAAACTGTTACAATCCATCAAAATATGCTTCAAAGATAATGGATTCTGGCATAAAGAACATAAAGGAGGATCTTCACCCGCCAACAGAAAACTATGGGTTAGTCTGGAATGTCCTATTCGACAGCGAGTGTAGACAATATGATCCCATCGATTTTCAAAGTGGGCACAACGTTTTACACCAACTACAGGATTGATTTTGTATAGCTTGTTTCAGAGCCCAAATGAAATGACTGTTTTAATAGGAGTTGCTCTTGTGTGGCTGAATAATCTCAATCTGAATACAAGCATGCATGTCAAATCAATTTACAGTGTGTGACTGGAAATTGTGATAAAATTTTCATTTTCCAGAGGGTGGTCATAAGTAGCTAGATGGATATCAGTGACAAATAATTCAAAAGATCATCCTGCTGGAAACCAGATTGGGAAGAATGTGCTTCATGACAACACTGTTAGGTAAACTAAAGGCCTGATCACACAAATAATGAAATGAAGAAGTGATACAAAAGTAGGCCTGGGCGATAAAACGGTATCGATATTTATCGACGGTACACCTTCTTCGAAATCGATAGAAATATTTTTCGATATAGCACACGATATAGGCACGTGCTATGAGTGACGCAGACAGCACACACAAACACGAACAGGAGTGCTGTACCTGCCTGTGATGAGGAGATTGTGAATAAAGAATGAATGTTAGTCGAATTTAAAATAAACATTTGCATTTGAATGTTAGGTGTGCATAAGGGAGCATCGTCAGTGGCGCGTGAGATGCGGTGATGATGTAAGTGACGTTGTTGCATTTTAATGTTTTGTTAGTCTAGCCCACGAGACGCGCCGCTGCTGCGTTATTCATTCAAGATATTAGAGAAATATAGAAGCTAAATGCGGAGAAGATCTTGAATGGGTTAAAACCGAAACCAAGCCATTCACACAGAACGCATATTCAGCTAATTTTTTTAGACGGACAAATGTGACTGCTGCACTCGCGTCTCACAGAAGAGATGTATAGAAAGCCATGCAAAGTTAAAACAGTTGAAACTTTTAGAAAACACGTCGCACATTTGTGGAGGTTTATTCCTTTTCACTGCGTCTCATATGTTTTTAAATGCAGTCTGTGTGAATGGCGCTTCGGCTCTTTGGATTAAGCAATGCATAAATACATGATGCCGTTTTGTTCAAAATTGTTTATGCAATTTATGGAATTATATTTGATTTTTATGAGTTAATTTAGACGTAATGCTCGTTTTTATAGAGTTACTTCCTTGCGTTGACAATTTAAATGCGCTGCATTATTTTGCTCATTGCACCCTTCTGTGGCTTTGGGAGACAATTAAACCTATACAATAAAGACCTATTTAATCTGCATATAAAACATTAGAAATTAGCTATTTGTTTAATTTTTATTGTGTTTGATTGTTAAAACAAAAAATATTTGTT